TGGTAAAAATAAATCTGCTGCATTGTTTTACAAAGAGACATTCTTTTAATTAAAATTACTAAATAATGGTAAAGTTCATATTTTTCAGTACCCCGCCTGATTGTGTATGGCAATGCTTGCAATTTGCATTCCTATTCCCTGAATTGGGATCCTGTTTTCTTCAAGAACGCTCAGTTCCTTGTAGATCGTTTGCACTGGCGTGATCACACAGGTAAACCATATTTAAATATAATTACCATATTTGATATGCTAGAATTTACATGAACAAAGCGAAAGATTCCTCAGCATTATGTGTATCTGTTTCATCTGGACATCATACATGTAGATGGTGTCATCAAAGATTGTTAAATTCTTTTGGAAACAAAATTCCAGCATCTCAAACACTGGCTTAGAGATTGTGTCATTGAACTGAGCAGTTGCTATTTTCTCTTGTTAGGTTGCTCTGAGGCATACAACCTCTCATGGTTTCCTCAGTGGCACAACTCGAACAGCCAGGCAGCCGAGCAAGCTAATTCATGCTTACAGTACATAAGAGGATCTTTATCTTACATGAATCAAAAAAACTTTGAGTCATTGTAAATGTTTCATCTGGTTTTGCAATTTGCAGCATCGAAAGCAACTGGATTCGTAAAACAAATTTGGTTGAGGTATATTTCTGTTTTCTCTCTTGGTACTGCTAGAGAAAATGAATCTGGTACCAGGTGAAGTCAGTTGTTGCAATTAGTTTTTTTAGTCTCCTCATCTGAAAGTTGAAAAATCTAAATCGATTAATTAACTGATCATTCACAAATTAATAATTTCCTGAACATCTGAAAGCATGTAGACAATAATTATAATGATTGGTGCCATCAGTTCTATAACAACAACAACTTGCTTTATTTGTATGACCATAAATACATAAAGTGTTGCAAGAGCTTTTGAAAACTAAAACTAAAACAGTAATGTTTTTAATGAAAATACAATAAGGTTATAATATAGCAATCAAATTACATGGATTTGAATCGAAAGAGGAATATTACGTAGATGACAGCAAGATGAAATGAATTTTGCCAATTGAATATTAATAATAATAATTTGTAAAAGTCATAAGTTTGGTGATGGCTTGCAATGAAGATTATTGTTGAAAAGTCACAATGATATATTCTATTTTTCTATAAAATTAATCTCTTAGATTAGAGTATTTTTTTGCAATATATAAGAAAGTGAGATTTGTCTTCAATTTGATTAGATTCACAAATAGGACAGAGTCTGTTAACCCTTGGAATTGGATCATATCTACCAGTTTCAATCCTTAGTTTGTGCCTATCCTAAATTGCAGTAGTTCTTTTCCTTTGCTTAGCTTGTCTTGACAAACATACTGCCAGACTACACGTTGCGTACCATGATAGATGGAAAAAAGTAAAATGGGGACAGAACCATACGCTTCAAGTTGAAAAACAAAACTAAAGCTATGTGGGCACATGTTAAGAAAACAAATGAAGTCTGAATGAAGTTAACCTAAGCAACTTGTTACTGTACACAATGCCAGCTTACACTTAATCTATAAGAATCAAACTTCTGTTTGTTAGAATGATTTGTAATCGTCAACTGCTACTTACAAGCCCTCCCACCCCTTGGTTATAGGCCCATAGGGTATGTTTTAAAACCTTATTGAAAACTAGTATAGGCCAGTATAATTATGAAAAACGACAGTATTTGGATCAACACTGCTGAGGTCCATTATGCAACAGTTGTTGTTTTATTCCCTCTTATAAGCCCACCTGGATATAGGCCCCTCCATTAGTAAGCCCATCAAAAGCCCCTGATGAAGTTGAATAAGCCCAGGGCTTATAATCGGTAGTTTACGGTATATGAGTGGAATTACTGTGTGTCCTCTCAGTGGTCTGGAACCTAACATTCTCAGCAGGTTTCAGTGCGAAATCAGACAAGGTTCAGTGTTCACTCCTGGCCTTAATGAAGGTATACTTTTACTAATCAGGAGTTCTG